GCGACCTGCGCGCGTCGCGGGGACTCCGCGCTGCTCTGCGCCCGCAGCTTTGGATTTTTGGAGCGCGCAGGCAAAGAGGGGGGAAACAAAGGGACGGAAGCGGGTGCGATCCCCGTGAGGGGCGTGCCGACATGGGCGTCGCGGCGCGCGGGCGCTGCCGTCGGGGTTCCCGCGGAAGCTGCCTGCGGCGGCCACGCCCAGTGTCACAAGTGTTCGGAAAGGCATGCTCGAGCCATTCACATTCTTATAGGCGTAGCCAAGATCGCATTCATGCAAATATACTCTCTCCCGCGCAGACCCATTCACACTCAGACTCTCTCGCGCTCTGGCCCACCCGCGTTCATTCTTTCGTAATCTGACCTATCGTATTCCTTTGCGTTGTGTACCCCGCCATATTTCGGCATGCCCCTCATGCGGTTCGTGGCCCCATAGGGAGCGCCACCGAAGAAGGTACTCACAATTGCGGCACTCACAACTGCATATGGTTGGGTCTTTCGCCAGGATATTTTTTTTGGATAGGAAGTCGGGGTGCTTTTTTCGCACAGATCGCCACCGAGTCCAACATCTAACTGTCTGCAGAAAGCCCCGCCACCGTGACAGCGCAGCATTCACTTACATGCAGGATGGATCTACCGAACTCTGCAGAAAAGCCTCGGCAGAACCATCTTGGTGCTGTAATGGAAGCCTCGCTATCAAGCTGTAGCGTGGTGTGGCCGTAGCCTTGCAGCGCCCGTCGCGGGGGCAGAGACCAACGTGAACTGGTGGCCTCTGCGGTGGCATACGAGAAGGATCAGGAGGAAGGAGGGGGACGGGTAGCTCGATGGGAGAAAATGGAGGGTGGAGAATAGTTGGAGCATCAATCTTCCTTTTCATCATGTGCTCTGCTTCGGTGGCTGCTCTTTTCCAACCTCCCCGTTCTCCTCCTCCGTCCTCTTCAGACGGCTAGGAGGATGTGCGTAGCAGTAGGAACAGCTATAGTAGTAGCAGTAGTAGTAGTAGTAGTAGTAGTAGTAGTAGTAGTAGTAGTAGTAGTAGTAGTAGTGGTAGTAGTAGTAGTAGTAGTAGTAGTAGTAGTAGTAGTAGTAGTAAAAGTAGTAGAGTGTTAGTAGTAGTAGTAGTAGTAGTAGTAGGGAGTAGTCGTAGTTAGTAGTAGTAGTAGTAGTGAGTAGTAGTAGTATAGTAGTAACAGCCAGTATTAGTAGTAGCAGTAGTATCAGTCAATGTCCAGAATCGGTTACAAAATCGATGAACCCCCTTCCAACCCCCCCCGGATCCCGACTGCTATTTCTATTTGTCTCCTTTGGAAACAAATTCCATGCGATGCGATACGAGCACTTGTATATACCCCGGTACCGGATAATGACGATGGGAATTGTAGCTTCTGGTTGTAGCCCTTATGTTAGCTGGAGGGCGCGCCGCGGCCCCGTTTACCGTTGAGTTCCTCACCGCTTGCGGGCCCAGAGGGGTCGGGGGGAGGGGACGGCCTTCATCGTATCCTGGTGTAGCCCTGCAAATTTGGCCCAGGGGGCGGTGCGACCTTCGCTGTAACCTGGTGTAGCCTTGGTGCGGCCTCGAACTGATTGGCTTGCTGAGGGCCTTTCTGGCCTGGAGGGCGATCCGGCCTTCGTCGTAACCTGGTCTAGCCCCTCTCCTGTCCTGTTGTTCCACTCTGCCTCCGCCCCCCTCCTCCTCGACTCCCCGTCTCCGAAAACAAACGTTAGTTGCATAATATTTTCATCACATGTCGCCGGTCTGATGAGGCCATCTTGAGCCAACTTGGACCATATTGCGTCATCTTGGAGGCCATCTGAAAGCACTTGTGGCCCTCTCGGCACCAGAGGGCGTGCGCAAGGGATGGTCCCCAAGTGCGGTCGGTCTCTTTCCACGCCAGGCTCGGGCGTGTCAGGTGCGGTGCGGCTTGTTCGCAACCCAGACAGGGTGCGCGGTGCGCAGGGAGTGGTTCCTGAGCGCAGTCTCTATCCACGCTGGGGTCGCAGGGCGTGTCAGGCGTGGCCTGACGCCAAGAGGGGGTGCGCAGGAATCTGCCCCTGCACGCAGGGCGCCAGGGCGGTCGTGGGGACGTCTCCAGCGATCCAGTTTGCTCCGCCTCCCTTTTGTTTTCTATAGGCGCACTACAGCGCTGGGGAGCCGGATTTTTTTAACTGTCTCCCCACAATCATGTTTTAAACAGTTTTTAGACATTAGTCGTAGTAGTAGTAGTAGTAGTAGTAGTAGTAGTAGTAGTAGTAGTAGTAGTAGTAGTAATAGTAGTAGTAATACTAGTAGTCGTAGTAGTAGTAGTAGTAGTAGTAGTAGTAGTAGTAGTAGTAGTAGTAGTAGTACTAGGACGAGGAGGAGGAGGAGGAGGAGGAGGAGGAGGAGCACGCAGCAGCCGCAGCAAGTAGTGTAGCAGTGTAGAGTAGTAGTAGTAGTAGTAGCGTTAGTAGTAGTCAGTAGTAGTAGTATAGTAGAGTAGTAGTAAGTTAGTTTAGTAGAGTCGTAGTCG